CAGCTATATCAATAAATTTTCGTGCCCATTCACGTATTGTTTCTTCTGAATCAATAATTTTTTGTTCAAGAATTTCTTTTTCATGTATTAAATCAATAAGATTTTCTTCTTGTTCCTATAATAAATCTATTATTTTTATATTTATATTAAAAGAAAAGAAAATATTTACTCGATTTTGATCAAATAAATCACGACGTTCTCCTTCGGTTTCTTTTAATTTTTGTTCAAATGTGAATTTATCATTATGAAGACTTGATTTATCATTTTCTAATTCTTTTAATCGTTCTTCAAAACTCTGAATAAATATTAGTAGAAAATATCTAATTAAAAACAACAAAAAACAAAATTATTCATTTACTTGTCTAGCATGTTCAATTTCTTTAATACGTTCATTGGTTGTTATTGTTATGGATTGATAATCATTACGTTCAGTTGTAAGTATTTGAATTCTATCTTGTAATTCCTATATTAAAGTAAGAAAACATTTGATTTCTGTTATTTTGAAAATATCAGAATATTCAGCAGTATTTTCAAATCTCATGTATTTTACTAAACAGTACTTCCCAATTCTATATAGTTCCACAATTCGGTCGACATTGAATTTCGATTCCTTAACTAATAATAATATTCTTCAGAGATGAATATTAGTGATTATGATTTTGGTCATGGGAACAAATGAGATTATTTGCTATATTTAAGTTAAATCGAATCTAAAGAAAGGTTTTTCTTTTTCTCATCAATCTCTAAATGTTTTCAAAGTTTTACTTGTTAATTGAATTTTTTTTTCATTGAATGCATCAATAATTATTTGAAGCCATATGATATATGGACAGGTTCCTTTCTTAATCCATTACTATCACCGACGATTTCAGAAGAGCCACTGATAGAATAGCCGCATAAATCAATGGACAGAATGATCGTATGCATTACCTTTTATGCAGACTAGTTTGAACAGTCTAGTGATCATTTATTTTACATGTGATTTTTTTAAAAACAACTCTTTAGTTACTTAAAAAAACCATGGATTATGCATCTCATCATTCCCTTTACCTCCCAATAATCGCTAGACAAACATTTTTATCGATACATATATCATGCAACACATCTTCGAGATATATTTTGCATA